TATTAATTTGAGCTATCTCTGTTTTTCTAATGTAAGCATTTGCAACAATAAATTTGATCTTAGGACTGTTATCATTTTTTTTACCATGTTGTGCTACTTTTGTCTTTTGATTCTAGGAACTGCTTAATTTCTTCCTTGATTGATTCTGTGACTCATTGCATACTCAGAAGTATGTTATTTAATATCCAGGTGTTTGTAAATTTGCCATTGATTTTTAACTTTAGTGTGCTATTATCTGATAGTATGCACAAAATAATTTCAATTCTTTTATAAAGTTTCTTTAAATAAACATTAAAAAGCTGGAATGCAGTCTATTTTGAAGAATGCTCCATGTGGTGCTGAGAAGAATGTGTATTTTGTTATAGTAGGGCAGAAGACTTTACAGCTATTTATTAAACCCATTTGTTTGAAGGTATGATGCAGCCTTGATATTTCTTTGTAGATTGTTTAGTTGATTTTCTCTTTGTGAGAGAGTAGGGTATTAAGATATCCCACTATGATCATGTTGATGTTCATTTGATCTTTTTTGTCTAATAGAGTTTGTTACATACAGCTGGGTGTACCAGTATTCAGTGCAAATTTATTTACTATTGTTATCTCTTCTTATTGAATTTGGTCTTTTAATATGTCATGATCCTCTTTGCCTCTTCTGATCAGTTTTGGTTTGAAGTCTGAGAATAAGTTTGCTATGCCTGTTTGCTTTGTGGGTCCAGATGTGTGGAATATTGTTTCCCAACCTTTAACTTGCAGTTTGTGAATTTCTTTTTGGGTTAGGTGTGTGACATGTTTGCAGTAAACCATTCAGTTTGCCAATCTATGTGTTTTAATTATTAGTGCCAATTTGTGTATTTTATTAGTCTGCCAATCCATGTCTTTTAATTGGGAAGTTGAGGACATTTATACTGAGAATTACTACTGAAAGGTATTGACATAACTGTGTTGCATTATTTTTTGTTGTTATTAATTCTTTTATTTTTCCTTTTTTGATATATTCTTTCTATTATACGTTTTAGTGTTATTGTCTTTATCTAAGTTATCCTTGAAAAATTTTTAAAGTGCTAATTTAGTGGGAATTTCTTTCTTTCTTTCTTTCTTTCTTTTTTTTTTTTTTTTTTTTTTTTGTCTTTTTCTATTTTATCGGTACCAGGGATCGAACTCATGACTACCTGCTTGCAAGACAGGCACTTATGCCGCTGAGCTAAATCCCCAGCCCCTGCTTTTTTTTTTTTTTTTTTGTCTAGTGGGAATTTTTTAAGATGTTGTTTTTTATTGAATATTCCTATTTCTCCAACAATTTTGAAGGATTTCTCCAACACTTTTATAGGATGTTTGCCTGGGTTGAAACTTAAGTGCTTAAAGCACTTCATTCCAAGCTTTCCTGGCCTTTAAAGTTTGTGTTGAAAAGTCTGCTGTAGTCATAATAAGTTTACCTCCCATAAGTGAATTTTTGCTTTTCACTGATGTGAAAGAAGAGGGAAGAAACTTACAAAGAGAAAAGAAAAGAAAGACTAGAAAGAGCAGGATAAAGAAAAAGCTTAAAAAGGAAAATGAAAGATATTATTAAAGAAACAAGATCCAAATGATAGAAAAATAAAGAAAACCTCAAACAGGCAACAACTCAAAGAAACAAACACCTCCACCCCGGCTGCTGTACCATACAGCCAATGTCCACACAGTTCCCTTCATTCTATAGTCACAGTTGGATTGCAGACAGCCAAGTCAGTTTTTCCCTGTGGACTGATTAACTGCCTGCCTGCGATTGGTGAGGGGTATCAATCTCTCTGAATTTGTCTCTTGGTTCCAAGTCATGCTTTGAGTTTGGTCCATTGCTGACTTTTGTCTCTTTCCCTAAATCTGATCACCTTAATTAATTTGGAAAGAAGAGAATGTGGTTCACTTAACACCCAGTTCCCCATCAACTTCTACCAGTGATCTACAACTCCTACTTCCCTTATTTCAGGACATTCCTGCTATCATCTCTACACTCTCCTCCCAAGAGCCTCCTGCCTGCTGTATCATCAAAAGCCCTCTGCCCCAGGTGACTTTTTCTGTTCCTTCACCATCAAAAAACTTTATCCATCACTGGTTCCTGTCTCAAGAGCTTCACTTTCTAACTCCTGGAACTTGGTGAAGTCTCTAGGCTCAACAGAAGGCCTCTTTTGCCTGAATAGGACAGTGGGTGGCGGGCAGGATTTCATGCTGTTTCAGAATTTCCAGTGTCTGGAGAAGCAATATGAAAGCACCCAATCTGGTCCAGTTCCACTGAGTCTTTCCTCTTCCTTTGTGTCTCTAGGATGTGATTCTTGGCTCCCTTGCAGTGAGCTCTGTACCACCCTCTGTTCATGGTATTAAGGCTCTCTCTACCAAGGATGGGGAACTTCCCTTCTAGATGCTGGGTGGTGATGGTGGGCAGGATGTTACAAGGACTCATGTTGCCCAATTTTGGGGAGGATGATGAGGGGAGGGACTGATTGATTTGTGTTGCTTTTCCACTTTCCCTTTCTATGTTGCAGTCCTTTACTTCCCTGTGGCCTTCCCCACAGTTAGCTCCAGGTAGGGTTTTCTCTTCCAGGTGGGGAGGAGCATATATAGAGGGACTATTCCAGGAGTCTGGCTTCTGCAGTGCTGTCTCCTCTCAAACTCTTAGAAACCCTCCTAAGATGGTATGTTTGCTGGATAAAGGGTATGTTTGGATGGGGCGAGAGAGCTGAGGAACCGGTTGTTGAAATTCCCTTTTTCTACAATTGAGATAATGGTTTGATCTAGAGTATTTGTCTTTCAGGTTCATTTCTGGGTGTGTCTGATTCCTTGGTTTCAGAATAGCTGCATTATCTGGTGTCTTTCCTGGGAACTTTTCCAATGCACCTCTTTCTCTAATCAGCCATGTTGGAATTAGAAGAGTTTTATTTTAATCCAGAGGTGGTTTTAGTGTGTCAAACTGGCAAAGCTGATAACAGTTCCAGTTATTCAAACACTGATCTAGGTACAGCTGTGCAGGAATTTAACAGATGTTATTAAAGTCTCTAATCATTAATAGTCAATATAAACTAACAAAAGGTATTACCTGTGTGAGATCTTTAGAAGAGAGCTAAGGCTTTTCCTGAGCTCAAAGTCCAATCATGTGGGGTTGTAGTCTATTCATTTTCTTCCCTTCTTGGTCATCTATCCTAGTTAGCTCTGAAAGTTTCTTAAGTCATATTCCTTATAATATTCCCATGTCTCAGGTGTCCTGGTGTATATGAACTATGCCTTACACACCAGATGCTCACTCTCTTGAATACTGTATTCTTCCCTGAAGATATGAGTTTCTCTCTAGTTCTTATTCTTGTTGCCTGAAGAATTTCCTTCAGCATCTTTTATAGGGGAGTTTTGCTTGCAATGTATTTTAAAATTCCTTTATTTGAAAATAATTTTATTTTATCTTTATTCCTGCAGGATACTTTAGCTGGGTATAAAATTTTCAGCTGATAAGCCTTGGTTTTTTTCCCCCATGTAATGTCTTTGTTTCTTCATGGTTCCTGATGGGAAGCTATTGTCATTTTAATCATTTTTCACCTATTTGTACTATATAATTTTTAATTGCTTTCAAAATTTATTCTTTATAGTTTTAAAGAGTTTAATTAGGGTGTGAGTAGCCAGGTCTTTTTTGAACTTGTCAAATTTAGATTTGGAAATTACTGAGCACCTTGAATTTGTTTTTACCAAATTTTGCAAATTTATTGGTTATAATTGTACAAAAATATCTTTATCCTAATATCTTTCTCCTTTCCTTTAGGACTCTGATTACATGCATTGAGACCTTTTCATGTTTTTTTCTTATTACTTTTTAGAATTCTGTTATATTTATTACAGTAATACTTTGTTATATGCTTGTAAATTTATTCTGCAAGTCATTGCATAGGTTTTTAATTTTTATGATAGTTTTTTGTACATTTTAGATTTATTTTAATATAGGTAGTTTTAGATTTATTTTTATGTAGGTAGTTTATTAATTTTCTTTGAAGTTGTTCCTTTTAACTTATTTTTATTTATAGACCAAAAATATTCTTTCCTATGCCAAGGTTTTAAGATATGCTATAATTTCTTCTAAAGGTTTTAGGTTTTCTTCACATGTATTTAATCAATAATCAATATAATTTTATGTAAGAACAGATGTAGAAATATACTTAGAAGGTTTTTTGCATATTACTAATTATATAAGCACATGCTATTTTTCAAGTGATGTATAATATTGTTCTCATTTTTCATCTTCAAATATGAGATTTCTCTTGTCTAGTAAAGCCTTTACATTCAGAAAAAAAAATCTCTACATAGGCAACTCTTCTGGGATCCAGCCAAGATCAAAAAGGATGAAAAAAATCAACACTCTATGATTTTATTTAGATCAGTTAGTACCAGACTGACTCTTCCAGATGTTTTGAATTTACCTCTAAGTTTTCAAAGTTTTAGGAGGAATGAGCAAGTGGGACATGCAATTTCTTTATGCTGGTAGGCTCCACGGGAATGGGTGCTAATCAGTTTGTTTTGTAGCACTGCTAAGGCCACCAAAAACACCCCCTGGCTCAGTTTTTGTTTCCTGCTAGTAAAAGCTATGATTGTAATTATTAATGTTTTCTTCATAGAAATGGGATCTGAACTCCGAATTCCAACTGAACTAGAGTATCTCAAGCTCTACCCAGTTTTCTACTCATAAGAAGAAGCACTTGTCCCCCACCCCCTGATCTTCTTGGCAATGAGTGGAAAGCTACAGGAAAGAAATTGAAATACTTTTGGACTCTTTTCCCTAGACTGAGCCACATTCACAGCCAGAAGCCAATTCAGAAGTTTGCTCTAACTGGGTGGAAACAATCAGCCATGGTGAATGATCCACTTAATCCTTTGGCTGTGTTGATGACATTATAGCTAGTGTATTCAGAGCTTAAACCAACTTCAGTGACCAGTAACTTTGAAACAGTAAATGCTGCTTTCATGTTCAAACTATTTCTTTTTTCTTGTTGCAGGAGGGTTAATAAGTTCCTACTCTTTGCGGCTGATCACACCTTCTTCAGAGATTTGAACTGGTTTAGATTGTGTCCCCAGAGTACCAAAGAACTGGTATGAGCAATTTCCTGAGAAATACACCATTTAACTTTTATTATTACCAAATTGACTTTTGATTTTAATAAACTGTTATAAACCATGCTCTAGATTGAAATCATTTTTGTTGTCTTGCTAGGCACAATTCTCCTTAAACCTTCATATTTTCTGTAAGTCCTTCTTTTTATGGCTTTTTCTCCATTAAGGATATTGATAACTACCCCTCAAACAGATCATCATCATCATCATCATCATCATCATCATCATCATCATCTGATCATCTCACTATAGAAATGGAACTGGATTTTTTGGAAGTCTTCCCATCTTCCCATGGAACTTTCCCTTGCCATTTACTAGGTGTCAGCCAACAGTCTTCCTTCGTGTTCCAATGGCAACAGTTCCATTAGCATACTAGAGTTGACCTAGGACAATAAAGACTGATAAGACCTATGGAAGTTACAGGCTTTGACTTTTATGATTGATAGAATTTTCGGCAGAGAAGGGAACCATCTGATAGGATTTTGGCATGGCTGAAAAGATAAGAAATATGAAATAAAAAAGATCTTTATTTTAAGAATGTGGGGAAAGACCCCATGACCCTCCGGAGTCTGGCATTCTCTCCACCAGACACATGGTGTGGAGGCATACATGTAGCTTAGGTTTGGGGTGGTGCCTAGGGGGCATTAGTGATGCACAGATAGCCCATTGGTATTCACCACAGGTAAATTGCCTAGGGGCGGGAAAAGTGACCTCAAGATAGAGCCCCTTGGTTCCACTTCCCAGGCTTTACCAGCTACAGTGTTCCATCTGGGGCAAAAACCTTTCAATGATGTCTCCCCACTTCATGTCATTTTCTTCTTTGGCTGTTCCAGATCAGTGTAGCTAGGTGTAAAAGCAGTGCTCTGCAGAGGAAGCCCACTGGACCAGGTATGAGCCGATGACGAAGTGGTCATTTTAGTCAAGTCAGTTTTTCATCATTAAAAATCAGGGATCACAGACTTATACGCCAACAGAGCTATTTATTTGGGATAAATATAGTAGGTAGGACTTAATTCTCTGATAAATTGGAGAGTTTATTTTAATTCCTGTACAACTCCTATGTAAAGAAGAATGCTGTCGTATTTGCTTGATGTCATGGGTAGTAGGGTCATACCATTTTGCAGATATACTAGGTATTAGTATTTTGAAAAAAGGAACTATCTCAGTATCTAAGTATTGGCAACTAATACAAAAGCTCAGAAATTAAACTTTCTGTGGTCTTAGTAAAATATGTCTGAATCCCTGGGTCACCAGTTGTAACCTCTAGACCAACTGGTATTTAAAACCTCTTCCAGTACTGAAATGTTATACTTTAATTACCCAAAGGTTCTGAATTGAAAAAAGAACTGGTATTTGAATGTGAGAAAGATTTTCCTGGCATCCTGCTCTTATATTTTGAAACAGGTGACCAGCAGGAATTGTGAAATGTCTTTCCAGTGATCTTGAAGAATAAGAGACCCTTCTTTTTGTATGCCATTAGTTACATGCAGTTGCCAGGGAGATGGAGGAGATGTTCCCTTGCAATTCTTCTCAGTTAGGATGATGTGAAAATGGCATTTTACAAGTTTTGCTTCAGATGTTTTTAGATCCTTTTAAGGAAGGGAGGTGGTAATTTGTTTTTAATTCCCAGGACCCCTCCCAACACAATTCCTGGAATCAACCAGAGGAAATCTGTAAACTATAATTTAAAGGCACAGTATGCAGCTTCCTCTCTAAGATTTAGATTAAATTTTGTAACTTAGAACTGAAATCAGGGTAGCAGTTCGAGTGTGGATAAAAATGTGTGTAGCTCTGGTTTTCAACATGCTAATCAAAACCAGAGGGGACAATAAATAAAAGTGGAGATGAGTGATGGCAAAAATGGGGGGCTTTTGACCTCACTTTATCTTCATCATAATTGTCTCCTAAAGAAAATTGATCATGATGGCCTGAGTCCATTTTCTTGTGGGTTAAAAAACCTAGTAAACCCACAAACATCTTTTATTTTTTTAATCCCAATACATTTGTTAGAAAAGAAGAAAGTTATGAAATTTGCTCATATCTTTCCTTAAGAAATTAAAACTAAAAGGCAGAATAAACCAAAAATGAATACAAGAAAATAATAAAGACCATAAAACACCACAAACATCTTTTATACAAGATGCGTGCTCAAGCCAAGAGTTGCAGTTCACAAGCAGCGAGAATTCAATGGACCTACTGCTTGCATTAGGAAAAATACTAGGTCTTTTATTCCAAATTAACTACAGCAAAGTAAATAAGTCATCCCTACCCTTAGAAAAATACAAAAGACAGAGGCAAAGAAGCAGTATAGAAAATGATGCAGTTAGTTATTAATCAAGTCTATTTCAATAGCAACATGCATGATGAGAGAGACAGAATTTGACTGAAGTCCCGGGAAGTTGCGTTTCCATATATCCACTGCCTAGTCTTAATGAATAGTGTGGATCACTGGTGGTGAACCCACCAGTGCTTTTGATGGCTAGAGGGAAGATAAAGTTGTCTGAGATTATATTCTTCTTCATCACCATTTTTATCACCAAGACTTTAAATACTACTCTGTACACCCAATACGACATGTAGGGGCCAGAAAGATCTAGCTATGTACCCGACATGGTGGTCATGTGTTGCTTTTCCACTCCAGATTCATTCTTTCTTATAACAGGGTCTTGTATTTTCTGGGGCGTGGTGGGGGACCACTCTCCCAACACTGTATGCAGTTTTAGTGGGCCTCTCAGTCCACATGGCCCAAAGGTTGGACTAAACAGGGACAAGGCTGGCTCTCTGAGAAATTTAACCTTGAGAGAAGTGACACAAGGAGGGAAAACCAGAGATCATCTCAGGACAGACAGAGCATGCATCCTCTAATGCTATTCTAAGCCCTGTTTTATCTGAGGTCTAAAATTTTGATCATCTTTTTCTGTGCCTTGAAGAACTATCTCAAAGTCTTTACATAGGTTCTCTTTTACATCAAAACTAGCTAGAGTCACTTCTGTTGCTTGCAACCCACCTGAGACACCTAAAAATTATATCCTTTTCCTACCAGCTAAATTATGGTGGTGAGAGGACAAACTAACAGTCCAAAGAAAAATTATTAGTCAATAAGTGAGTTTGGTGAGGTTACTATGAATACATTCAGTACACAAGAATCAATTTTAGTTCTAATAGTAGCAACAAATAATTAAGAATAAAATAACATATACAATTTACAGTAACACTGAAGTTGACAAATATTATTATATGTCTAAATGTATGTGTGCAATCTCTACACAGATATTTATTATTGAGATGGGGATTAAGTAAGTAGATCTTTATGGTAAACCTTTAAATTGGAGGTCAAGAATAGATTTCTGAAATAGAATCTCAGTGCTGATGATAGTAACAAGTTCATCTTTTTAAAATGTGAAAATAGGAAAATGAGACTAGAAGGATAAAATGGTCTATCCAAGGTACTTAAAAAGTACTTTGGGTAGCTTTTCCTGCCACAACTTGTTGCTCTCTGCTGCCAGTCTAAGCATCACTATACTGGACTACACCCATCGTTCTGGTCTCCCAGGACCTGGGCTTATACAATACTGGCCTTTAGCTGGCTACCATTTTCACAGTGTATTCTAGTACTCATGGCAAATTAACAGACTGGTCTCGCTATCTATGAGGTTCTCGTTAATCCTGAATTAAGGACATAAATCCAGGATTGGTAGTCTGCTGTTCTCTGACTCTGAAATTATCAGGTTCTTGCTGGGAGACTGACTCCTTACCCGTAACTCAAAAGCCCTCATTTCAAACAAGAAGCATTTTTTTTATTACAGTTTTATAGTGTCTGGTCACAGACATTGTATCAACTCTGCTTCTACTCTTCCTTCTGGAATAACCAGACTTTGCTAACCAAACTCAGACGGAGAACTACAGAATCCCCCCCCCCCCACCCCATCCTTGATTTTCCCTCTGCTGTTTTTTCCTCTTCCATGGGTTACTTTTCCCAACTTGGGAGACAAGGAGAATGTGTATCCCAGGTAAAGTGAGGAGGGAAGGGGGAGGAGCTATGACACAGACAAGTCAAAAGAGCCCTTTGTGCTCTTTTGGAATCTAATCAAGTGCCCCAAAACCCAACCAAGCTTTTCAGACAGCACAGAAGCCAGTCATGCAGGCCTCTTGGGCTCTGCTTTTTTTTAAAGCTTTATAGGGTACACTGAATTATTCGGTTGGATCTTTTCAACCGTGTGACATTTGGGTTTTCAATGGCACAAATGGTGTTGATCATTAATTATTTGGACGCTTTAATTAAAAAAAATCTCACTGTGGATTTATGAGGGTCTGCTGGGGGGCAAGGACAAGGAGCCCTTTACTGATTCTCTCATTTGAATGGGAGTGCGGGTTGTGACGGTCTAGAAAGACAGGCTATAGAATCATCTTCCTGGAAGGTCTTAAACCCAAGCTAGGGTTTATTTGCTGGGGGAGGGGCTTACAATGAAGAAAATAGAAAGTAACACAAGAGAACAGAATTCTGGGACCTGCCAAATACACTGGGGAGCAGGACTTTGAATAAAAAATCAATAGTCTAGCGGGAGCTCGAGGTCTGAATCAATATCTTTCATATCAAACCAGTAAGTTTGGGTTGGGATAGGGAAAGGGCTGGTTTCTGGAACATGTGATCGGCTGAAACTAGAAAGGGTCTCCATAGAGAGGAGTTTGTGAGTTCAGTGTTGAATACGCAGAGGGATGGGATCAATAGTTTTTTAATTTTAGAACAGTGAGGTAGCAAAGGTGTAACAACTGTTCTCTCCCTTTCAGGAGCATTTTGCAACCGTGGCCTTTTTTTGTAACTTGGAATACATGTCCTTTCTGAGTCACATACACACACTGTGTATCCTGACATCCTGAACAAGTTCTCACACTTTCACAGAATTGTGCTTCTGGGTACCTCTCGGCAAAGGTTAATCTCAATGACAAGTGATTTTGGGAAAAGAAGGGAAGAAGAAAGCAAGTAAGCTCTTCCCTAGAGACTGGGAATTCCCATCTATTCAGCCTCTTCAATCTAGGAGACTCAGGGAAAGATTTAGCACTTTT